GATCTACATGGTCACACTCAACTTTCACCAGGCTACACCGTAGGTTACTTTGTCAGTCCAAGCCCCCAGGAAAAGCGCCAGGATTTGAAGCCAGTTTGACACAGTGGCCAAACCGTGTAATGACAAGGTCACGTGTTGCATGAACACGAATGGCCCGCGATACTTTACAATGTGAAAAAGCAACATGTATGCACATTTCATTGCTCCTGCTCTGAGCTCCCAGTGTGATATATTCTATTTGTGCTGTGCACCAGTGCACTTCATATTGCAAGTTTGTTTTGAGATTTAAAAACAAACCGCTGACTCTGTGGGCATGTTTCTGGGTCCAGCAGCTCCTGACAGCAGTGGCTTGGTTACTACTGTCTGCTGTGATAGTGTTCTTCCACCAGATTAGCTGCTTCTGATCACCATTCTTGGAACCTTGGTGCTATCTAATGAACCAGGCCGCATTTCTACCAGTTAGGAGCCGAACCGTTGTACTGAAGGATGCATGCACAATACACAACAACCTGTAGAATATGGCTTGCCACGGCTGTGAATGACAGACAGGAGTGACTCTCAGAGGCTACCAAGTTGATGAACTCGGTTTTAGTGAAGGCATATTTGAGAATCATTTCCATAAAAATGAAAGTGGGTGTACAAGGTCCAGCAGGCTGTGACCTTTACTATAGAGTTAGTATGTTCTCTTGCATTGTCTTTGTGTCTGTGTGGGTTTCCTTTGGGTGCTTCAGTTTCCTTCTTAACATGAAGATTAGGTCAGTTGAAAATCGGTAGGCGTAAATGCAAGTATGGATGTAGCTGTCTAGCTGTGTGTTTCAGACCTGTGACAGACTGATGATCTGTCCAATGCGTACTCCACCTCTCCCCCAGTACAAGCTGGGATAGGCTCCGGCCCCTTAGGACCTCCACAGGATGAGTGGGCATTGAAAATGGGCCGATGTACTCATAATGTCCCCCATTTGTATACTCCTGCCTGTTTAGTGAAGGTGTGTGTGGACTTAGAGCTGTTGTCAGGGAGTTCCCCAGGCTGGGAGAATGTGGCAGCTGTTTTACAGCCTGCCTTGTGACGTGATCGGGATCATTAGCGGCAGCTACATTTAGCATGAGTGGGCTGTAACTATCACAATGCTGCATTGAGCACTGACGTAGGTTGCCATAGTTATGGCTTACTTTTTATCTCTCTAGCTCACCAGAATGCAGATGGATCACCGTATTTCACTTCTGCTTATGTTGTGTGAAACTGATGCACCTTGTTTCACATGTCCTGTTTCCATCCAGTGTCTTAATCTCTGTTTGACAGCTATCTCAGCTGCCCATCTCCTGCATTTGTGTGCACTGAGCTTCTGCAGCTAGGATGGAGGTACATTGTGTTTGTGGTTAATGTGGTTAAATCTTTCCCCCGACTACATCCAGGAGTGGTCTAGATGACCACACTGTGCGTTCAGTTACAGTCCAGTTACAGCACTGACAGTGCAGTACACTGAATGCATATCCTTAATGGGTTAATTTGGGGTTCAGGGTTGGGGATAGAAAATGTGGTTTCTGGTCAGTGGTCAGGAATGAGTCACACTACTGACAGCACAGCTGGAAACAGAGCATGGAGAAAGTCTTTAACTGGTGTCTGCTACACACAAACTGTGTGGATCCATAAAACCACCAGCTGTTTGTGTTATGAATTTAAGTTAGGCATTCTTCTAAGGCTACTTCCTTGTAAGAAGACCTGTCACTGTTGTGCTCTGTGAGGAGATTACTCTATCCTGTGAGTATGTGTACGGCTGCAGTGATGACTCTGTCTGCAGGCCGTACTTCTTCTTCTCCTGTCACTTTTACCTCACTGACCTATTGTTCATATGCCCATGCTATCCCTTATTTATAGCTGTGGTCATTTTCATGTTTTCTTTAAATTCACATATATTTTGGTAGATTAAAAAACTGAGAAAACACTGAGCGTCCATTTTTATTTGTCTCCAAAAAAGTAGTCTACAAAATAAAAGCACTGTCTGTGAAATGCAACAAAATCCATCTGATCCTGCATTAAAAGAATGTCATCCAGGTTTAAATTTGATGAAAAAATGTATGGTTTAAAATTGAAGAATATTGTTGTGGATTTTTGGTAAACATACTGTATAAGGAGTCTGAGCAGTAGTAGCATTCAGTAGATCTGTATATTTGAAGTGGATTTAAGTAGACTAATTGATTAGTTGATGAGCTGAGTTGACATCTTGTAGTTACAATGATATGATGGGGACACCTTCTGCCTTAGAAACAGAATGGGGTGAAAAAGCTTCCCACTTATTGCAATGCGTCTGTTTTTGTTTTTAGGAATTGAAGAAGGAATCTAAAGAGGCCAAGGAAACCAAGAATGAGCCAAAGGAGGAGACCTCTCAGCCTCTGAGGAGAGAGAAGAGCGCAGGGAACGTGGCCAACCTGGTTCAGAGGATGAGCACCATCGGCATCCCAACCGGCGGCTTCCAGCCTCAGCCACCAGCAGCTGCAAAGAGTAAGATGCTATAGTTTTGTTTGGGTGGAACAATGGCTGTAAATAAGTGCTGGAGTTACCTTGGTGTACAGGACGAGCGCGGTTTACTTTAGGCCATGGTGCAGTCGTTGTTACTGACAGGAGCATGAAGGCTTTCTATTTCTGGCATTTCTTTGCAGCAGATCCTCTTCATGTGGCTTCTGGCAGGTTAAAAGAACAGCTAACACCTATTTGCCACTGCTATTTCACCTGTGCCTGCTGCGTCTGAGCTCATGTGTCCTTTCATGCGTACATATGTGTGTGTTGCATACCTGCACCGTGTCCAGTCTTGCTCAAAGATCTTATCATGAGTGCCATTTTATCTTTGTCTTCTCCCACCTAGCTACTGTTACTATGGTTCTATTCTTACTGAATAGCATTCTTATTGAGGATTTCCAAGTATAGAGCTCAATTTCAGGGAAAGCAGCACTGCTGATGGTGACGTTTCCTCTTTTAAGTGATATACAGTATGGCCAGTGGAAAATCATTACAAATAAGCTACTGCTGACCTGTTTATTAAGCTGTGATGTTACTTTATCATGGCACTGAGCTCTCTCTGGAGAGGCTGTGATACCAGTCACGCCTCTTGTTTCTCACACTCTCAGAAGATGTCAGATATTCATTTCCTTTATTGTAGTTATTTTATTTCCCTGTGTCATGCAGTTGTACTATGTGTTTTGAGATATATTCAAATGAATTGCGTCATTTCAAATTGGCTGAATTAGAATTTTTTAGAAAAAGTGACAGCCCTACTTCTTTCTAATGGTCAGTAGGGGGCGACTCTTCAGGCTGTCGGAGTGTATTTATCCGTAACCTAACCCGAGTTCTTACTTGATTTATTGGCTCAGTAAACCGTTTCTTAATGAGTTTGTGTTCTCAATCATACAGCATGATGTTCATTTAGTAAATGATGGTCCTGTTAGAGTAAAATATTATGATAAAGCAGGGTATGCTTTAAGGCGGGGCTACCTTGTGATTTGACAAGTCGCTACCATGGCGTGTTGTCATGTTCTCAATCAGACCCAATGAGGAAAGAGCTGTAGCAAAGCGTCTCCACGGCAGCTCCACCCTCAACTGACCAAATATGGTCACTTCTGGCTCCAAAACACAAAGATGGCGACAGGTACAATGCTAAACTCGAGGCTTCAAAACTTTATCAGTTGGTCAGAGAATGTAAAAAAAAAAACCATATTGCTTTTTTTCTGTAATCAGTTTTGCTTCTAGACACCTGCTTTGTAGATCTGGCTCCTGGCCAGTATTTCTTCTTTGCTTGTTCCATTTTCTGTGTGCAGCTCTGCTTGTTCAGCAGGGCGTGTCCACCGCCTGCCTACAGGATCACCCATTAGAACAATCCCACAGTTCCCCGTGGCGGGGGGTGGTGGGTTTTTGCTTGGCCCCTCACCTGTGTCATTTCTCACCCCACCCCCGCCCCTCCGGAGGGAGAGGTGCACACAGCCGAGCTCTTGCCAGTTGATAAAAACAAAAACACTTTAATTGGCGCAAGCGCAAGTGCCCATGTGAGGCCACACAGCAGGTTGGTTGAGTAATAACTGCTGTTGTCTGACCCGCCTCTCACAGAGCCTAAGAGGAGACAGTGCAAGGTGCTGTTTGACTATCAGCCAGTGAACGAAGACGAGCTGGAGCTGAAGATCGGAGAAATCATCGACATCCTCGAAGAGGTACTTTATAGATTGTAAATATGTCTAACCCGGTCACATCAGGTGCACTCTGTGATGTAACCGAATGTAATTTCCTGAGATATACACAGCAGCGCTGGAACTTTGTAATTGCTGACCTTTCAGTGTTTAGGATAAACACAATACCAGGCTTCGGTTTTCGGTGTGTAATCTGAGACGTGCTGGTGTAGGTGTAACATTACAACCACTTAATGTATTTAGGCACTGAAGAAACACAAACTGTAACGTGGTTATTTGTGGTGTTGGCAAGTCAGAACATGTAAAAGGCAGTGCTGTGAGTGTACACAGCAAGCAGTGCTTTAAGGGGGAAATGTGTGTGTGTGTGATAACATCGAATCCTTCACGTGTGTGTATTACAATGCCAAAGAAAAATTCAGTCATACATGTAGTGATCATTTATATTTATAGCATCTTACAGTATATGTGTAGCATTAGTGGCACCAGAGGGAGAAGACTTGATTTCCACATCAGACGCTTTAGTGAATGTCCTCTGTGCGCAGGTCGAGGAGGGCTGGTGGAGCGGCAGCTTGAACGGCAAATCTGGACTGTTTCCCTCCAACTTCGTCAAAGAGCTGGATGCCGCAGGAGAGGACGCAGAGCCCAACGACACGGCAGCAGACGAGACCGGTAAGAGGCGAAGCAGCAGGGCCTCATTCATGTGAAGGGCGCAGCTCATGTTGGAAAAACACCAGGGAAGATGTATTGGAATTTTCTGTTTGGTTAGACAGCATATCAAAACAAAGCTCAAGGCAGGTGCTTTTGCTGCAGTTGAGCAAAGGAGATTGTTTTTCTTGTTCTTCTTAAACTGTTGAGCATCTGACAGCGACTTCTTGAGATGATTACTTTCTCCTCTGTTTCATTCAGACATCTATTCTCTGGTGGAGATTTTGGAGAACAGTTTATGCTGAGAATTTCTCAGCAGGTTTTAAATGTTCTTTTGGCATCATGGCCATTAATTCATTGTCAATGCAGTAATGGAGCTGTTCAGATGTGAGACAAGCCTCAACAAGAAGTTGAGTCTGCAGCTGGATGTTTCCAAGCCTTTTACCTGCTAGTTATATGACTGGGAGGTACAACAGCTCTTTAAACAGCTCTGTGTGTGGTGAGTGTGCACATTTGAGGATCCACAGCTGGAGGTAAGATATTGTATGGCTACATTTGAATGCTTTTATGTGAGAAAACATAAAAACAACAAAAACATTACAACCCCATCTTGCATCTGTTCTTCATCAGAGCTGTGGACATGCAACTGAGTTTTTTTTTATGAATCAATCTTTTCATCCATATGTTTAGGAATGTTATAATATAAATCTCTGTGTATACACAAACACAATTTTAGCACCTTCTGGTGGCTGAAAGTGTATCGTTCATGTATCCTGTCCTATACAGTATTGCAGCTGGAGGGAAAGCAGTAAGTTGTGAAAGTTGTGGATCAGCTCTCACTCTGCTCACACTGTTGTATCTCCTCCCCAGATGGAAGTGGAATGGAAAGCGCCGCCACCCCCACATCGCCTCAACCCGCCTCAGGGAACGGAGTTATTGCTCAGCCCAAGAAGATCCGAGGCGTCGGCTTCGGAGACATTTTCAGAGAAGGCTCGGTGAAGCTAAAGGTCCGACTGCCAAGCCCTGAAACAGAGGAAAAGAAGGAGAGAGTAAGTGTGATTCAAACTCTAAATACACAAGAAATGTGACACAAGAAATGTTTTCAGTAAAACATTATTCTATGCCCTTTTTTTAAACATACGTGGCATAAAATACTAGCAACAGTGGTGAAGAAAATGGAGATGTTAATGTTGCATATGTGTAACACTGCAAAATACTGCATACTGTGACTATAAAAAGCAGCTCATTTAAAGATATTGACCATCAAACAAAACAAAAGCCCAGACATTTTAATTTAAAATGATCAGAAATACATTTTTAGACTATTTCTGAAGCAACTGAATTGCATTGGGAAGTGAAAATGACCTTGCACTTGTGAATTGCACATGTGCTGTATTTCCAGAGATATGTCCATAAAAAACAAAGGGCAGTCGTCCCAGTGTGCTGACGGGTTCAATTAATATGAAATTAAATATGTATGAGAGTTTACAGCTCTTTAATAGTTAAATAATTGCAGTTGTCCTTATTCACTGCTGACTGCAGTAAGGTTTTGCCTTGGCTCATGCAATATTTTAGACATTCCTGTTCAGAGGTGCAAAATATGATTGCAGACTGACCACTGCAGCAGAGGAAACTGCATCTGAAATTGAACATGTGGGAAAAGCAGGTGTAAATTCTGACATGTTGTAAAGGACCAGTATACTCCCACCCCCCCCGCACCTTTCCAACGTCGGAATTTCCCAATCGTTCCCAAACTGACAGTCTGACATTCACATCCACTCCATGCAGTTACTGGCCGTGTGGAGGTGAGAAGAAGCTCTCTGTAGTGCTCTTTTTTTCCTACTGTTTCTGTCACTTTTCATGTGTACGACGAGTGAAACACTGAATGTCCTCCAGGAGAGACTGTCTGAAAATGGGCTCTGTTACCTTACCGTATTTAAGGGATACTGATGATCATAATCATTTTAAATAGTTTATTACAAGCCAAGGTAAAGTACATTGTACATACTGTATGATGTAGTGCAAATTATTATCAAAACAAATACGTAACAGATTGACTCACTAATCACAGTCACATGCATTATTAAAAACATATATTGAATATAAACCTACCTACGGCAGCAGTTTGGGGCCCGAGCCCTGCGGGTCAGTCGGGTCCAGTTGGGTTTGGGCAGAGAATCAAAGCTCTCTGATACAGTGAAGCAGCCGATCTGTTTCTGTCAACAGGAACAATCTAGTCGGAGGCGCTTGTAACAGATTCATTCAACCAGTGATCTTTCTGTTGGACTGATAACATCACGCTGTGTATTATTTCCTCACTCTTTCAAAACAGCCATCAGGTGCTATTTAACAGCAGCGTATGCTAATCACATGAACTGTAGTGGGCTTTTTTACCTATCTGTAGTCTTAGTATGGTAGTATGGTGTGAACATTTAGCAGTTTGCAATTTACATTTTTCAAATGTTCACCCTGACGCTGTTGTTTACCGTCTGCACTGAAGGAACTTCTCCAGATTCATGTGAAGCTTGTGTTTGTTGTGAATACACTTGTTTTGCTGCCATCAGCGCGTGCACATGACCACAAATTCAGAGTTCAGGAAAGACCATTCAAACTGGTTGGAGCCCTTGTATATCATGTTAGCCAGTGTCAGTTCTGAAATGGAAAACCTGAAGAAAACCCAATTTAAAAGTTTTTTTTAATGTCTTTACTCCTCTGGCACTGACACAGTAAACACAAGGGAGGCAATACTGATGTGTTGATAATGACATCCTGACATACAGCTGTAACAGCTGATAACAAATCACAGCTGAATTAGTGTAGCATGTAACTGCGTTCTGAAACTCTCCCCTCTTTTCCACCCTCTCTCTCCCCTCTTCATAACAGCCCTCACACTCTCTTTCACCACTAACGCAGCTTCCTTCACTCTCCTCCTCTCCTCACATACCACCACATGTCGCATGCTCTCACACGCTCCTCTTCGCAGGATATCTCCATTTGGCCTATATAATCCACTTACTGCTGTCCCCTCTGTCTGCAGCAGTGTCCAGGACATAAAGCACTCTGCTTGTGACATTTTCAGTTTTTGAACACTGTTAATTCCTGTGCCACAGCATAGTAGTATTCCTTTTTTATTTCCCTGTAGTATGCTTTTTTTTGCATCCAAGTTGTAACGTCAGATAGTCCCTGTAAAGCGGAAAAGGTTCAATCCTTCTGTGTTTCTGTTTCCTTTCTCTCAATAATTATTCTTTCTTTCCATATCTTCTACAATGCCTACTGCTAACCCCATAATTAACAGCATCATTCATAAACATTTACACCTAATAGCACAGAGTCACGATCAGATGATTTCACTCATTCGGTTCAGACACAGACTGTCTCATAGACGGGGATCCGTCCACATGAAGCCACATATCAACTCCATGTGCGCTAAATCACATCCATCTGTATGGTTTTGCTTCATTTTAGCCAATCCCATCATTACCATCTGCTGCAAAGCCCGCCCATCCCAACATGACAGAGTCGCAGAGAGCTGACGGAGACGGCAAATCCAAAGGTAAAACACCGTAAAAGTACTGATAGGGATGCTTTGACGTGTGGAAAGTGTATTCAGTGTCACCAGATCGTCGTTGAGTGTGAGAGGAAGAACATTTTTTTCTGTTTTACTTCTACAGTTGGCGTGTTAGCCCTGTTAGCATGATTTGCATCTGTCATTAGTTACAGCTCCACTGTTCAGTTTGGATGTGATGAAACATCACTCGCAAATACTGCAAAGACTTGTAGTGAATTGTAAACCTTTTGTCGTATGTGTGTTTGAGAGATGCTCTCGAATGTTTATATCCCAGAGAAATGTGTCAACTATTTTGTGCTCGTCTGTGTGCTCACTTATATAACAAATAGCGTTGTCTAGTATGCTCTGTTTACTTTCCTTGTCTGTTTTGCTTCCGCCCATGAATCCTTGTTAAGAGCCCATTATTTCTGTGTCCTCAGCAAAAGAGTACTGCAAGGTCACGTTCGCGTTTGAGGCTACGAACGAGGACGAGCTGACCATCAAAGATGGCGATGTCATCCACATCCTGAGCAAGGTCAGTTTTTACCGCATTAAAGTCGAGGCAGATAAAACAACAGTGAAAAAGTTGAGTGAACAGTGTCTTCTGTGTCTGAATGTCAATCAGAACAGGAAGAAAGCACTGAGCCGCACTAGCTGAACTAACCTGCTGGATTGGTTGTCTTATATCAGCCTGTGTGCTTGATCGTTTCAGAATGCTTCAAAACCAAGCACAATATCTTGTTAGAACAACAGATAGACTTAGATCTATTAACCGAGTGATTTTGCAAAAAATAGACAACTAAATCAAGTTATGTTGCTGGGAAAATGGTGTCAGAACAAACTGCACCTTTTTATTTTATTTTGAACATGTAATTCAAACACAACATTTTGTACAACCCACCCTCCTGATTACCAGTGATCTCCGTTTTGACATGAATAATAAAAAAATAAAAATAATATAAAGTGCAAAGTGTTCCTAGGTCACACTGAACACAGAATGTGTACCTTATATTGTGAAATATTTCCTCATTTGTGTCTTAAAGGACCAGTGGGTAGGATTTAGTGACATCTAGTGGTGGAGTTTCAGATTGCAACTAACTGAACACCACCCGCACCTGTATTTGACAACCTGGGAATGAGAACGGGCTGTGAAGTGTGCAGGAGAAACTATGGTGGTTGTGAAACATGCAAAGGCCCCATCTACAGCCAGTGTTTGGAATGTTCTGGGCTACTGTAGAAACATGGCGGCTTCCATGGAACAGCTCATTCTACCATAATGAAAACACCACCATTTATTTATTCAGGTGATTCTACACCAATGAAAACACACCTATGAATATTATATTCCATTTCTCACTATAGACCCTCCTAAATGTTACACACTGGACCTTTTAATGGACATAGACAGTCTAGGCTGTACTTAATCAGCTCTGTAAATGGATAGATGTAGTGGGTTAAGTTATTAAGAACTCTAGTGTTCCTAGCAGACCTAGTGGTTACAGAGTCTATCCTGTATTAGAATTAATTTAGAAATTTAAACTGTTTAAATTGTGGGTGCACACAGGAAGATTTCTCTCTGTTCTTTTGTTTTCCAAAGTCATCTCAGAGTTACTGAGTGACACTTTCCATGTGCTAGGAGGTAATGGCTCTGAAGAAGACTCACTGAGCACATTGCATGTCTTCATTTCCTTTTTTCATACAAATAGTATGAGTACTGGGAGCAAGGGAGAGCTTTGTTTTATTCTTGGCCCAGAGTCTCTCCTGTAGAGTCACTCCCATTCAGGAGGAAACTGTTACAACCAGGCAGCACATAAAGATCCAGACTCAGCTGGCTCTGCTCAGCTGTCTCTGACATGTTGTCGATGTGGGATGACTCTGACTCAGAGTTGTTGTGTCTCCATCGCAGCTAGAACAGTGACCAAACCAGGACTCCTTCAGTTCCCGCCAAGACATAGTAGATCCTCCATCTAGTGGAAGACTGTGGAGGAAAGTGCCGTGTAAAATGATCTGATGCCTATGTTGTTATTGGTCTTTTTTTTTTAAAGTAAATATTAATTATAAAAAATAAATAATAAATATCATTTTAAAGTAACAAAATAATAAAAGAAGAAGAATGTTAAAAATATGCAATATACAAATATAACACACTTATATATCTTTAATTATAATTATATATATATATATATATATGTATATATATATATATATATATATATATATATATATATATAAATAATAGTATGTACATTATAATACAAAATATGATAATATATAGAAGATAGAAATATGTGTATGCTACAGTTTGTGACAGACAAAACATCTTCTTTCCTACTACAGTACAGGGACTTTAACATTGTAATGTTTTATTTAGTTTCTTCTGAATCTGCGTCTTGCTGCAAAATAAAGAATAACAGGCACATCATACAGGAAGAGACAAAGCAAAGAACACAAATGAAGTGTTGTCACCATTCACACATTTTTTTTATCTGTCTAACAGGACACAGGAGAGCCCGGCTGGTGGCGAGGGGAGATCGGGGGCAGAGAGGGTGTCTTCCCCGACAACTTTGTCACCATGCTGTCTGAAGCAGAGAAAGAGGTGAGATCAGAGAACGAGTACAATTACCTATTAGCAACTATTTAGATAACTGATTAATCCTTTAATTCCTTTTATTTATGAAAAAACACAGAGTATTTCCTTTAGTTCCAGGTTCTCAATTCTGCTACTTTTTTGGCCTGTTGGTTGTACAAAACAAGCAATTTAAGATTGTGATGGCATTTTATAGACCAGATGATTGTCTGACAATGAGAACAATTGTTAGTTGCAGCCCTAAAATACCAGTAATCACAAAATAAATTGCCTTTAATAACCTTTATCGAATTCAAGCAACCTGTACAGATAAGTAGAGAGTCAAATAAATAATAATATAAATATCTAAAGTTAAAATTAGAATAGAATAATAATTCTAAACTATACAAGAGCATATGGAGACAGAAATTACATGGTAAAGTGACACTGGTGTAACTCTGTTTATTTATTGTGATTACAAAAAGTTAACTTTTTTTCTGAACAGTGGGATCTTGTTTTTTGTTTATCACAGTCCCTGTAACATCCAACATCACAGCCCTCAGTTTGTGTACAGCACTGCAATGGTACCTTGTGTTTGTATTAATATAGAGATGTAGTATGATTATACTATAGAATATGATGCAAAAATCAGCATGTTAACATAATATACTGTAGTATTATATTGTAGCATGAGATGTAACACAAGGTGAAAGGTCGTCTTTGTATTATTAGATGTTCTCTGCGTCTGTTCATTTATGAGCCACGCAGACCGACGTATGTGCAGAGGCTGCTTTCACATTCAATTGCTGAAAGGGCGGGAGGGATCACCTTAAATCTCAGTTTAATGTGTTGACGCACCAGCAGGATTTGTGACATCACAACTAACTTGGAAGCCGATCATGGTCCAGTATGTAACTAAGGCAACTTACACAAGTGTGGGGTGGAAATTTCTAACTTACAGGACAAATACACTAAAAAATGTCTTCTTTTTTTTTTTTTTTACTAATGCGTAAAAGGCAATTTATATTCTCATTAAACAACACAAGGTTGCACAATGAAAAGACAGTTGTGGTTCCTTTAGGCTACTCACTGTAGGACATACACTTAATAATAAAGATAATTAACCACTGAAGATTAATAATACACTCGTAAATGGGGCACCAACCTCGTTGTCTAGTTGCTGGAATAATCCGGAGAAATGAACCAAATCAATTTAATATTCGATATTTAATAGGTGTGCAGTACCTCACTGTCTAATTAATATTATGGAGCAGTAAGCACAGCTTAAGTTTTCCACATCACAAATGCTGATGTTTAATTTCTTATGAAGGCTTTTCTACATGGATAATTAGGCCTCTTGATAATCAGCCAGATGTCTTTTGGGGTAAAGAACTTATTGCTAAGAATTTCCTGCGAGGCTTCTTTAATGATCGGTGAACCAGTCATGTTAATGGTGTTTGAGCAGACTGTATAAGTGCTCTCTGGGTGCTTTGCAGTCCCTACTGTTCTCCACGTTCACCTAAAGGACCCTTGAGATGTCATCACAGAAAGTGATTGTAGGTTTTTTCCATTGTTATGTTGTGTGTCCTTTTTGTTAATATTGCAGACTCCCACGTCGAGAGGGTCAGTGAAATCATCGCCTAAGCAGGACTCTGAGGAGGTAAGCTGTCTGCTCCTATGATGGATAGAAACCACTGATAGGATGTTAGCTCTTCTGTTGCTCTGGATCAACATTTTGATCAACATTTTCAAAGATAGTGAGTGCCACACCTGACCAGTCCTCTGCTCTCGGATGAGCCTCCTATAAATCAATGTTAAACCTGGTTTTAGTTTAAGCCCAATTTTAGTCTTTTGGTTTTTTCTTAGTTTTGTTATTTATATTTTTGTCTCATTTTGTCATACATTTTAATGTTTTACTTATTTACAGGTTACACCTGTTGTTTCATCTATCCTAAATAAAACTTTAAACCACTGGCCCGCCTTGTTATACCACAAACATAAAACCGTAGTATGTATTTTTAGCCACCAGGTATATGACTAGCATGTTTGTAGGTGAACATACAAACTCCCCCTCACATTCCCACATATTCTGCCTGTCTTCTTCCCATTTTATTTCACTCTCTTACTTAAAGATGTCTGATGCAGAGATGAAAGTGATTTTCGTATAACCTGTGGTGATTTTCCGTGTTTGGTGTTATTTAATGCTGATCAGAATTCAGTTATTCAAGCTGTGATACATTACACTGAAGTGTGACTCCATTAGACCTCTCTGGATGCAACATGGTCTCTAATGCTGATAAGAGATAATTGAAGTGAAGTGTGTAGCTCTAAGTGTGAAGCCGCTGGGGTTATATAATACGACTGGATTGTAAATAGCTTGTTTTTGTAATGGACGCCAGCAATCAGCCTGTGATTGCTGATAGCTCGGCCCACAGGGTCTCTGACTGTATTTGCGGTGGATAGAGATTACAATCAATCAAGCCTATCAAGTTAAGCTGTCACTTTTAATCACATCAGATTCAGTCCAAGTAAAATGTAATTATGATACAATGAAATTGATAAAGATAATGAAGTCCATGTCATTAATAGTCAAAAAGCAACAGTCTCACGAACTACTTGAACACTAGTGTTGAAAAGGTACTGCCAAACTGGAAATGGAACTCGAACTCCCATAATGACCCCATTTATGATCTACATATCAACGGTTGTACATTTTATGACAAATTCTGGCTTCCACTCACTGAATTATGAAGTACTGCAAGGTTGAATCAAGGTAACAGTGGGTTTGACATATGCAGTCATACTTTGACAGTGCGTGCTGCTCAAATTGGAGAGTGCAGATGGAGAACATACTTGTCACATTCAGATGGTTTTTGTACAGCTGCTAACTGAAAGATGCTGGTAACATTCAGACATGCTCTGGCTCAAGGGCATTGTTGCCATGGTTGTAATTAAGTATTGTTCTGAGCAGTTAGATGTGTCAAGTGGAAAAATTTATTATCAAAGTGATTTTAAGAATCTATTGGAATGTGTTTTCACCAGTTCAAGTGATCAAAAGAACCTGAAAGTAGCATTGCCCACCGCCTGCCTGCCTGCCTGCCTGCCTGCAAGAGCAGATAAATGTTGCACGGTGCAAATGCACTCAGTCTCAAACCATGCACCCTGCTATATTGCCAGTGACATTTGCTGTACCATGCCTCTCCTCCCACCACTTTTCATAGTAAAAAGTTCCATGTCCTGGTCAGAATACTGCAGCAAGACAAAGTCTATATATATATTCAGTATCCCATGTTTGATGGTCTTGGCAATGCACAGTGGTCATTGAAATCACAGTATCTGCTTTTAAGGCCACACAGAACCCTAAAAACCTTGCTTAAGAGTTTTTGTTTCAATTTAGTTACACTTAACTCAAGCATATCTCTCTCACCCTCTGGCCAAATATATAGAAAGCACTAACATACATGTTTACTTAAGACACGTTTATTCGTATAGCACCTCTAAACCACAAGGCAATTCAAAGTTCTTTACATATAACATAAAAGGAAAACCGTTAAAAGAGGAGAGTAGTAATTACAGCACAGGTTGAGTCCAATCATTGATTTTGTTCAGTGTACTGACTAACTGCTTGTATGGGACCTTAGTCGCCTGCTGATATCGTTACGTAAATCTGAATGTCGTCCACACAGTTATGATGGTTCATTAAGATATTTTGTTGCTTTCCATATTCTGCACTAGTGTTGGCATGTATAGGCTGAACAGAAGAGGCCTGAGAATCGAACCTTGGGGGACTCTGCATGTTATTTTTGTACTCTCTGAAGGACGGGGAGCACTTTGTTTTGGCCTGTGAATATCAAACAGGATTTGAACCAGTGTAACACTGTGCAAGAAAGTCAGACCCAGTTTTCAATCTGTCTAGTAATATTTTGTGGTTGACCATATTGAATACAGCACTGAGATCCAGTCTTCGTGCTGTGGTCATAATCCTGACTGGAAAACATCAGAATGGGACAAACAAGGTTCAGCTATTAAAAAAACAGCAATGATTTACTAACTAACTAAAAAAGGTTAACAGAGATGTTACCCTGTCATGGGGAACGGAAACAGAGCAAAAGCAGCTGACTTACTGGAAGTGTTTGAACTTTCTTCAAGTTACAGTCTCTTAGAGTACAGACTCTTCTTGTTGGTTTCTGTTGCCACGTTGTCTGATTGGTGAAATGCCTCTACAAATGATAAGAAAAAAAAACATACATTGTAATAATTGAATTAGATTTAATTGGATTAAACTGACATTGGATTTAAATAGCAAAGTAGTAGTTGTAGTAAAGATGCAGGGAAGGTTAATTCCATAGCTTTTTCCAGTTTGCATTTGAGGCTGTAATTCTGGGAAATGATTAGATTTTCCTAATTTAGACGAAACCTAATTTGTTGCCCCTTTCCCCTTTCTCTCTGGGTTGGGGTTCCTGTATTTGAGAACATAGATGTCAGAGTGCGTTAATGACACACCATCCACTTTCATGTCTGTCTGATCTATTTTTTCTTTGTTTTTGTCAGAAGCCGAAAAAGCCACCTCCACCATCAAAAAGCATAGGTAAGAAACACTTTGCACCCTGCACCTCACTACATGCCATCAACTCAGTTGAAGGTGTGAGGAGTAGGTGCTACTTTGATGCATCTTGCAGTGGTCCTCCAACAATGCTCAATGCTCATTATTTTTAATAATATTGAATGCATTTACCTTGTATTAAAATAAAATATTGCATTGATATGATGCATAGTTATAGTATTGAATTACTTGTTAGTTTCAGTCTCAGCACATTTCACATTAACTGAGTTTCTCATTAAAATAATGTTTCCACTCACCCTTAAACGTCAAGGGTGATTCCAGGCATCTAGGCATAATAAATGGTATAATGGCATTGCCTGGTTCGCAGTGTTAGATTGTGATGGGCTAATGCAATAGGCTGTGTGATCCCTTATGGGATAGTTTTAAAATATCACAACAGTGGAACAGAACAAGACTATAAATGAGTATAGGACTGAGACTGAGAGCTGAATAGAAGAAGAAATACTGTTAGCAGTATATAACAGTAATTTCTAATTATATAAGTAATTACATTAATACGACCTGGACCTTAATAATCAGGTTGATGTATTAACCAATGAACAATAATTTATTCATTTAAGTTTCTAGCACTGCTGACAGGGCTTGCTTCCGGTCTGAAGGTGCTGACTGAAACTTAAACATAAAAATGGGTTGAACAGCTTCAACAAAACAATCCCCCTTTACTTTGTGTGACATCTCCCAACTGTCTCCAGTCACATAAAAAAAATGGAAGAGATATGTCTTACAGGGGTCTTCCAGTAACCAAATGTGCTTCTTGTTTGCATGATACGTCAGAAATCAGATGTTCCCTTAAACACTGTCAGATTACTGACAGTGCATTTAAACATGCTGAGGTCAGCCGCGTAGCTTGGGTGAGAGAATGTGCCATGGTTTGTTTCTGTTTCCTTTCACAAAAGGCTTTCTAATGACACTGTCAGAGTCACCAAGTCTATAATATTCACAGACGGGGACTAAGCCTGAAACATAGAGTTGTAATTCAACTCAAAACGCCTGTTCCAGATTGACATGGTTGTGTTCCTGAAATAGAAATTTTTCTAGTGTTTCTTTCAGCAAACATGAAACTAAAATTCACCACAGTTTTGTGGTGTTACTGTAAGAACAGCATTGCTTCAGAGGGATCAGCACAGACAACTACAGTTTGCAAAATGCATACTTGCATCATTGTTTTCCTGTCTGCACAGGAAGTTAAAAGAGTTTACATTCAGATAACTCCACCACTGCCTCGTGTTGCAGTTTGGTGTGTGTGTCTGTGTGTGTCTGTGTGTGTTGGAGACATCAGTAAATATATGTCTGTAAGCGACTTCCTGTCGGCCTTTTTAGGAAGGGTATATGTCTCACACAAACAAAACCACAAATGGGTGCGTGCCCCTACACACACAGTACAGTGTTTATATGCCAGGTAGAGAAAAGTTTGTCTGTCAATGCCTGATAGAGGGCGGTGTGTGGTTTTCTGTGTGTCTTCCTTGACATTGTCTTGTGCGTCTTGAATCAGTCAGGTCAGACAGACGTGGTGACTCTATGTGGAACATGTTTCGTTTTTCAGCTCTCAAGCCGGACGTTCCGAGTGCCGACAAGAAGCCTCATCCCATCAGGCCAGAGGACAGAGGTAGGACTCTCAATCTGTACCCTCTCATTTTATCATCCCATCTATTGTTAAAAAATTATTCCAAATGTTCTATTGCTATTATTCTGTCACCAATAACTCCTGTATTGACCCAGGGATAAAGTAGACAGACCATTTTTAAGGGGCCATTCTGCTTCCTTATTACTCATCTGTACTGTCCTCCCCAGTGTTAGAAGTACTCGGATTCATTTAAAATACTCTATTACAGGTGATCGTCTCGTATAGAAGTTGTATCAGTAAAATGTACAGTGTCAAAAAGTAAAAGTAATTCTGCAGTAAAACGGCCCCTGATGCGTCAGTGTGTAAGCAGCATTTTACTCTTGTAGCTGCTCAACATGGAGCTTATTTTAATGATAGAGTAAGTTCTAGTTTAGTCAAGTGGTTCCCAACCAAGAAAAGGTTATAATCTGCTGATTTTAATCTTTAAAAATGTATTGTATTTTAAAAAAGGATCATATGTTTTTATGGAAAAATCGAACAATGATTAACTCTAACCATCGCATAAATAATGGATAAAAGTAGTGCAGTAAAAAGTACAATATTTCCCTCCGGAATATAGTAGAGAAGAAGTACAAAGTAAAGTAGAAGTAACTGAAAACTACTTAAATGCAGTACTTGAATGAATGTACTCTGTTACTTTCCACAAATTGTTCGCCTCAGTGGTCTCAGCGTATTCATCCCTCCTTCTTTTGCCCTTTAAGCTTCATCCACACCTTCCTTAACTCATGCTGCTCTCCCTCCAGATATACTTGAGTAGCAGTGCTGGCACACACATTAAGACCGCACAGTCTCTTACTCAACACACTGGTGTGTGTTTGCACTCTTCCTCTTTGCCCTGAACTTGTGTTGTGTGTGACTCCAGCAACGCTCCTTTTTGTTTGTTTTTTTCTCTGTTTTCTTCCTTTACTTTTCAGAGTGTAAGCTACTTAGATTTTTTTGATTGGATTCATTCCTTGCGAAATATTGAATGAAAGGTATAATATGTTAAAGTGACAGTTACAACATGGTATGTTTGGTATGTCATGGTTTGTTAAAAAACAGCATAGACAAAACTGATAAAACATATGAAATCAATGAACAATGAATAACACATGATATTAAATCACAAAGCTGCAAAGAACGTTTGGTTTGAAAGGATTCTGTTATTAAACAGTTTTCTTCTGTGGTGGCTGTGATTGCAGGAGGCATTGATACCTGAGGTCAGTTTATTCTAGTTATGTAATCACCTCACATGTTAAGGCGAGCTGTCAAGTCGTTGTTGGTAAGAAGACAGACAGGCTGTCAATGCAGTTTCTCTCTTACTGAACTGCACACAGGAAATGAGCTGTGTGTGCGTTTGCCTATACCGCTGTCAGGGCCACATCTTTGGCACCACGAATTTAAGACCAATCAATTGTCTAATTTAGAATTCAGTTGGTATCTGTAGAGCTTTTTAATCAAAACCGACTCGATAATAGTAATAATGATAATGAAGATAATTTATTCATATGTAATTGTGAAATGGTGCGTAAGAAATACGTACATCAGTTCAGTTATTCGGTCTTGTTACTGACTAAATTTACACTGTTATTATATAAATCCTTATTTCAGCTTTAAAGCTGCCGTACGTAACTTTTATTTATTTTTAATATATATTTTTTGTCATATTTGCTGAAACTTTCACTATGTTCTGACAGTGATACATAAGACAGATCATCTGTGAAAAAACAAAGTTTCTCTGACTCTTCCTAGTGCTCCTAATGGAATCTCTTAGCTTTGATGTTTCATTCGGGTCCGGTGGATTCTAGCAAATACCATCAGGAGCACTAGGAGAGCCAGAAGAACCAGATTTTTTCACAGACTATCTGTCATATATAATACTGTCAGGATATAGTGAAAGATTCAGCAAATATTAGGAAAAGTTACCTACTGCAGCTTTAATATACAGAAGAGGCTTTAAGAACATTCAGAAACCTTGAATTTTCCAGTTGCAATCATAGCAGACAAAATAAACCAGCTTCTCTCTTCCGTAAATATCTCCTAACGTGGTTTAGCCCAGTAACTATTCAACCTCTGTCCCAATGAAGCTTATTGTTGTTGATTTCTGTTGTCATTTTCAACTCTTAGCATGCGGCGATGTCAGCTAGCATAACTCATTTCAGACGAGTTTATCCCCACATGTAAACAAGTACATGCTAAGTCTCCCTTTCAAATGCAAATTAGACGGAGCATTTAGAGCATAAAAATCAGGCACATCTGATGTGACAATTACCTGTGAGCTGCATCAATATCCATTAAGCTATCTTCTTTCTTAAATATATGCTGAACAGCTCTGGACTCTTCAGAGTTAATGAGTTCATCGGGCTGATAAAGTCATCAGTCACATTTACAAATCAGGAATTAAACCTGCTTTCAGTGAAGCAGATCTCAAAATCCCAAAAACCCAAGTCATTTTCTGTAATTCCCATCTGAATTTCTGAAGCCATTAGTCTTTGAATATTGAATACTTGATGACAACTGCCGTCACTATGCTGAAACTCCAGATAGAACAAAATGTCATAGTAGGTAAACAAAATAATAGGACCAACTGTGCACAAACTTTATCAGCAGACAACCTTGTTGAACATCAATTTGTGCTGCTTGTTTGAGCTCTGTAGGGAAACAAAAACAAATAAACCTTTTATGACTCAGACTTGAAATAATTAAGTTATCCCTCAGTGTGTATTTGTAAAGTTGAGTACAGGAAGGTTGAGTTTAGTTTCAGTGTTCTCTTGAAGAACACTGTCCAGAATAAAGGGGTATTTTCATCATACGTGTGAACAATTTCTCCTCTCTGCCATTTGCTTTCTCCTTTCTCATCCACATATTCACCACAATTTGGCCCCTCTCCTCCTCCTTTTCAACTCCTCTCTCAACTCTCTTGTTTCAGTTGACAGGCCTACGCCAGATCACAAACCATCCAAGCCTGCAGCGCCGGTGGTCCCGCCCAAGAAGCCGGTCCCCCCTCCTGGAAAAGGCAGACCCGGAAGCCTCCCGCCAAAGAGGCCCGACAAGCCTCTCGCTCCCTCGCCAAACCTCAAGTAAGTTCAGCACCTGTCTAAACGCCTCTGGCGTTTTAAACTATGAACTCCACATTCCAGTAATTTCATTTTGTTTTTTTGTAAATGTTTCTTCCCTTTCTTTTCAATGTCTCCTGTTATCTGCAGGCACAATGGAGAGGTGCCTTCCACACGACCAAAGTCCGACTTCGAGCCAGTATTGCCCACCAAACCCAAAACCCTGTCTGGGGACTGGGGGGAGAAGTCCTCGGATATGGGTATGTACAGTGTGGCCTAGAGATTACCTCAAACTACAGAATCCTCTAGTTGAATGAATAATGAGATGATTAGTTGTACTAATTATTTTTGCTAACTACATAAGACATTTGGGATGAAATAAGAGTTCTGTTGCTCTTTAGCCTCTATACAGTGACTCCCTATGGCTCTGACCAAACATTATATGGAACTGAATAATGTTTGAATATTTTTTTTAATATTTCAG